TCAATCTAATAAACATTTTACCATAGTTATTACGTTATATTAATTACAATAAATATTTCACTTACTTGTAACTGTATTGAATAATAACCTTTTCGATTGACATAACTTTCTGCATGTTTCTTTGGTTTATGTATATGTATGTGGGTACCGTCTACAGCACCAAGTACTTTTGGAAACTTATATTTGTATTGTATATCTATCCATGTATATTCTGCTTCCTCTGCATCAGGCCATTTAATAAATTTATGTGCTAAAGAATAAATTGCTGAGCAGACTTTTCTATTAGCACGCCAAGCAGTTGCTCGTCCAATATTGAATCGGTCACAAACTGATCTATTAATTAAACGGAGAATATATATATGTATAATAAACTTAGTATTAATATATATTTAATATAATTTTTTAATTTATGTACAATTACCGATATGAGTCAGGTGTTGCCATAGTCCATAGTGCTACTAGTAATTGTACGTCTGGAGGAATTGGACACCGTCCATATCCATTACCTTGCTTTTCTAAGCTGGGTTTTATTAAATTTAATAAATATGTAAACACTACACGCGATAGCCTGTAATTGAAGAAATTCACTAATTTTAAAAGATAACTAATTACATTTGTTATATTCAAAATAGTAGTAAGATTGTTTCCATATTTTGCATAATAAAAACAATCGTGAACTAATAAATATCGACTTTCGAAGCATTATACATAAAATTCTCTATACAGTATTATTATTATATATTATTAATATTACCGAAAATGACTCTTAAATTCTATATCCGAATATTCATTGACTGTTTCCATATAATTTTTAACACGAGGTCGAACTTGAATTGGCAATCTCATAATTAGTTCATCTTCGGAAGAACTATCAGTGCTACTTTCGTTCAAAATTTCTAATGCTATTAAGCATATTGATAATTTAGTGCGTTTATCCATGGCTACATCCGAACCGCTCCGCTCGAGTGGTCTCATGAGACTTCTTCTTCTTCTTCGTTTATTGGCCAGGCAGTCCACCGGACCGAAACTAGGCCATTGAGGTCCGCGAAATATGAATCAAATGTAAAAT